AGTGCTATTAGTTTTATTATTAGGTTAAGGTGCATAGCATTTGTTAGTTTTATTAGTGGAGTAAAGTTTTACTAGTGGGATAAAGGTTGCTTATGTATATATTGAATAAAAACTTGGGACAAGTACCTCGTTACAAAATATACAGGAAAAGTCTGAAACGAAGTAACATTTTGCTTTAAAGGAAGAGGGCTAATCTAATTATCATCTTTGAATGATACTTGGAGCCATTCTGGCTGGAGAGGGGTTTAGACTAAGGGGCTGGAGATAGCACCTATTCAGAGCTAGATTTTAATATCAAACAACACTACTTTTGGTGTGGGTGTGCAAAAAGGTTCCATCCTGCATTGTCTGTGCGGTTTTGTTAGCCTTTGCACCTGACTGCACCTTTGAGTCGAATGTCAGTCTTGATAAATGATGTTTTTCACATAGCGCATTATTCATGACAGCACTATCAAGTGGAATGTAACCACAACTTCAAATAGTTGTAATCTGAATTAGTTTGAATGGGAGGGGGTGGCTGGTACATGGAAATCTGTAGTAATATAACCACAAATAGTTATTAATGGACATGATTTATGAAGACTGTAATCCCAAATAGTTATGAATGAACATGAGTTACGAAGTTATGGACATCAGTTATGAAGTTATTATTAAAAGTTGTTAATGGACATGAATTCTGATATATCACCTTTTATCAAAAGATTCTTGTCACTTTCTTAGAGAATGCTAATGAATTAGTCAAACATGATGTTCCTTTCACAAAATCATATTGATTTTGCCTGATTCTATTATTGTTTTCTAAATATTTTACTATTACCTTCTTAATAATGTGCTCCAGCACTTTCCCTCTGACAGATGTTAGGCTTGTTTCCATACAGTTTACTGCTTTCTGTCACATTCCTTTCTTGAATAGAGGTGTTAAATTTGAGATTTTCCAATTGCTTAAATCCTTCTAGAATCTAGGGAATTTTAGAAGTTGATAATAAGTATATCTACGATCTCTACAGTCACTATTTTTAAGATCTGATCAATCATGCTGTCATGTTCAGAGACATGTCAGTCTTTAATTTCAAGAGTTTTCCCAGCATTTCTTTTGATTGAGATTGCTTGTGTTCCAGCTCTTTTATGTCTTGGTTTTTCAGACTCCAGGAGAAGATGAGAATGGAAGATCATGAGAATTAAGTAGGCCAGTTGGCTCCTGAAGCCTGCTCTGCCATTTAATAAGATCGTGTCTGATCTGAATATTATGACAGCTTGCACTTTACGATTTTATTATAAAATGGTTGAAACAGTAATTTTACAAAGAAGAATGTGAATTCTTAAAGAACATGAGAGGTAAGAAATATTTGGTCTGAAATGAAGATGAACATTGCCACAGCTCTATTTGAACAAAAAAGAAATAAATTCTTCTAGTTTCTCACTGCCAACTCTCAGCACTGGAAGGGTTGAGGCCAGAGATGGATTGAAAACACGGGTGAGAATTTGAATATTAAGGCATTTAGACCAGGAGTCAACAAACATCAGTTCGCACAAAGATGATGTGTGACTGGGACTTCGTGTGATTTAAGAAATGAGCAGCAGAGATTTGTGTAATTTTCCATTTGTGGAATATTCAAGGGGGGGTGTTGAACAGGAATGCATTGGAATATCCACATCTATAGATAACAAAGGCATAGATCAGGTTTTCATCTGTAGAGGAGTTGGGGACAGGATGGAGAGAGTTAATGCCACATAGGTGGACATTGGCCGATATCTTGCTCAAGTCAATGTCCAGGTTGAAAATTCTCTGATTTAGACACTAACAGTGACCAAGAAACAGAGGCTAGGGAACAAAATTCATGCAAGGACTAAATCTTCCCAAGATTTAATTGAGGAAATTTATGCTCATCCAGTACTGGGAGTTTTGGGCAAGCAGCATGATAAATCACAGATATTGGAGGCATTGACACAATGGCAGCGAGGCAGAGTTGGGTGTCACTACTTTACATGATCTCCTTCTCCAAGGAAGAACTTTCTTTTTATTCATTCATGCAGCATGGACATTGCTGGCTGAGCCAGTATTTATTGCTCATTCCTAGCTGTCCTGGGGAGGGTGGTGGCGAGCTGCCTTATTAAACTACTGCAGTCGATGTGCTATAGGTAGATATCGCTAGAGAAGGAATTCCAGAATTTTGACTGAGCGACAATGGAGATACATTTCCAAGTCAGGATGATGAGTGGCTTGGTGGGGAACTAGCAAGTGGTGGTATTTCTCTGCATCTACTTCTTGCTATATAGAGAATGCAATGAAGATTAACTAGCTTGATTTATGAGAGAGTTGCCCTTTGAGGAAAGATTAAGTAGACTAGACTTTTTGGGCAGATTCCTAGAGTCTAAGTGACACAGACTAAGTTGAGATTTGTAACAGAATTGGGTGAGAAGTTGAGTGAGGCGTAGTTCATTATCGGGAATGTGTCACTCTACCTTTTATGCTTTTGAGAAGTGGTGTAGTGAGTTTCTCACTTGGCAGCAGTCAGTTGCCAATTAAAAGGGGCTCAGTGCTTGTTAAACACCTTGACAGCACAACTCACCTCATTAATATTCAGTTTTCTACCTTACCAAACAAGCTGAGTGTCGAGGAACTTTCACATGGAATTTAAATTGGGTACCTGGCAAATTCAGCTCACCATTTTCTTAAGGACCTCCATATTATATATTACCAAAGGACAAAATCCGGGCATGCCCCTTCCTTCACAGACTTGGGCATCCAGCATTTGCTAAACCCTTAAGGCACCTGTCCAACACATTGGCTGGAGTGTCTGGAAGTGCAGGCTTGCATTGCAGGGTGCTCTGGCAACTAGAATTGAAAGGTTGAAGCAAGAATACATTGCAGACAGGGCCTGGCACCCAGCTGAAGATTTGGACCAAGCTGTTCCTCAGGGCTGTTCACTTGCTCTCTTAACACTCACTCATTTAGAGCCTACTTGCATACTTGCACCATCCATGCCTTGTCTTGCCAATTAGTGCAGTCAAACAACCAGGCAGCTTGCCTTTCTGGTCGGTAATCTTCAGTCATTATGTGTACATTTTGCTGAATGGCAGTATGCCCCATAACACCTGCCCCATGTTGCAGTAGTTTATACAGAAAATAAACTGAATTCGCCGCAAGCAGGCGTCAATAGCTTTAAGACTTTGGCTGGTCTCATACATTGCATGGTAAAACCTTGTATTCAACAATTCTGTTCTCCTCCCTCACTTGATGGCTTAGTTGCTGCTGACCGCTGAACAATACTCCATTTATGGCCAACCCTAATAGATTGTTTCATTCCTGTATCCTTGTTCATTTCCAAAGCAGCTGCAAATTTATATATACAGAAATGTAGAATGCTGAACAGTAAAGTCACTGATTCCTGGAATATCCATTTCTGCCAGCAACGATTCTCTGATAAGGATTAGAGCTACTTAAATTATATTTGATTGGAAGCACAAACTTAAAAGTGAAATATTGAAAATTAACAGACCTCTCGTGCATATTTTCCTGTAGGTGTTTTACTTTGTTTCATTGTGGAATGTCGGTGTTGCTGGCTGGGCCACAATTTATTGCAAATCCCTGGTTGACCTGGAAAAGATGGTGCTGAGCTGCCTTCTTAAACTGTTACAGTCCATTTGATGTAGGTCAACCTTTGGTGTGTTAGGACAGAGTTTCAGGATTTTGACCCAGTGTTGCTGAACAAATGCGGATACATTTCCAAGTCAGGACGGTAAGTGGCTTGGAGGGGAACTTGCAGGTGGTGGTGTTCCCCATGTATCTTCTGCCTTCATCCTTGCTGATGGGAAGTGAGTTTGGAAGATCTGTGGCTGTACAGATGAACAAAAACACAATTACCGTCATTAATTACTCTGTAAAAAAGGCTGGATTTTTTTTTGATATTTGGTGCATTTCATATTTTATGAAGAGTACAATTAAATACTTCCACAAACACAATAATTTCAGTGCTGCAATAGCAGAGGTGGGAGTCTTGACCATCGAGAACAAATAGTGATGAAAATGGGAATTGTGGAAATAGGTTTATTTCCTGAAATTTTCAGTGATTACCTTGGAATTTCATGAAGTATTTACATAGGACTCTCCTGGGGGGATTAGAGGAATGAGGTAAACTTTGTGATACACTATAATTACAGGTTTATGAAAGAACAGCAAACTGATCCTTTTTCACTTCATGTTTCTCCTCCTATATTTTGAAAATCAACCGTGGAGTTGAACGCATTAAGGTTAAGCAAAGGGGTTAGAATATATTGCTGCAGCCTAAGCAACAAATAGGATTGTTAGTCCAATTATATTATTGCATAATAACTATTTTGGCTTTAAAAGAAGCTACCAGTATAATAGTGGTTGGTTAGAATGGTGCTTGGCACAGTTACACAGCTCAAGAACGGAGATTCAATAACATATTAAAGTCTTAACGATTAAAATCTGTGGAATTTTATTCCTGAGTGGAAAGCAGCTAACCCGTGCGCAAGATAGAACAGGTCATATGTGAAATACATATCCACTGCTGATGGATTACTGGATTTATAAATGGATAATACCTATTTTACCCGCTTATAAAAACCTTAAGGAACATTTGATGTCCAGCAGAGCTGTTCCTTTACCATCAACGGCCGCCAATCCTGCAGGTTTATAACAGTGCAGTGGTAGTAGCGGCTGCTTTGACCGAACCAGAGAGACCGATTGAGGAACGTCCCTGGATTAAACGGCCGCGTTCGTGAGAATGGTTTATATCGGTCGAATTAAATTACTACAGGCTATGGATGGCGTTGTATATTAACGCCGCTGCGAGAAACCCCAAGAGGATGTGGTGAAAGCGGAGAATGCTGAAATGTTCCAGTGGATGAATGTAACAGTGGAGCCTGTGCCCACTTCATTGAAAACTGGCAAGCGGACGCCACTTCCTGTCGGCCACAAACATTGCAGTGGGGGGGTGGGGGAAAGGAGAGTCCGCTATAAATATCCGTGGCAAATTCGCAGCACCGCAGTCTTCAGAACACATCCAGGGTGACAGATGAGGGGACACCTTTGTTCTCTTCTTTCAGCTGGGCCCCTCTCTGAAAGATCCGCACAGTTGATGGGAATCCTATTGTGAGCCTGTGAGTACCTGGGAATGTGATTTCTCGTCAAAACATGGTGATTTCACCAAATTGCACCTGCAAGCGTTTGTCAAATTGCAGGGTTTGCACTGTTTGGGGTTTCTGTTAGCAGAATATTGAGTGATGATAATCATTTAGTGGAAGGACAGTGGTGTCTCTACTTAACCATCCATGGGCGCATTCCTAGTGCAATGCCTGTTCTCAAACAGCTTCCTTGAAAACGGTTTGCAGCATAGAAAATGCCGCGTTAAATGATGTAGTGGCCAGGGAATTCTAAACGACCTTCTTTGACCATTTTTTGCTTGTCCATAGATGTTTTGATCAAAATCGTTCCTGTTGTCGAACAAACGTGCAAGGAAAATGAATAAGTCAGCATTTAGATCACCTCACTAGGGAAGAGCGAAGGGAAGAGGTTGTTTTAATTTAAAATATACTTTGGCAATTTCTAGTGGCATTTTAAAACTCTGTTAGGCGGAACTATGTGCATAAAGAAAGTTGTTGAAGATGCTCGATGTTTGTGCATTAAAATGGTGCATTCCGTTCAGCAGCTTGTGTTGTGAACTATAAAGTGCTGAACATTAAGATGCGGTTCAATCTATAATTCATCGTTCCAAACGGTGGGTGATCCATGTCAACTCCTGCATCGCCTCTTGTTAATATCTTCATCCTAACGCTTTTCCTCAATTGCAGAACAAATACACTTAATAAATGGATGCGCCATGATATGAGATTATTTGGGGTTTCACGGCAGAATTGTAACCTTTCGGCGCATGTATTTTGGTTTGTTTGGAAAGCCGGTGTAAGAACACGATTCGGCGATGATTGTGAGGTGCCAAAATCTACAATAAAGCGTAAATCAAAAATTGAAAACAAAACATTTCGCCAAAGTCCCCTCTGCGACTCACCTCCCCACTTCACCTCGCATCACTGTAAGGACCAGCGTGTTCAATGCAGAATGAAAAGCGGCTCTGTGCGTCTCTGTGCAGAGAGAGCTTTGTGGCACTCAAGCTACCAGGGAGAACCTTACACTCTGGCAAAACTGCTCAGGCACCATTTCAGATTTCTGTTGACTGCACCAGGGGTGTTCGGCAAAGAAACAATGCGAGCAGAAATGGGCCATTTGTCAATCGTCTTTGAATTAGAGTCTAGGAGGTGTCTGTCTTTTTTTCCTTTTATTTTATCTTTCGGAGTTCTTACAACAAATCAACGCATTATCTCGTTGATCAGGCAGTGACATGCCCAAAACATGGTCCAACGTGAACGTGACCATTTAACGCAACACAAAATAGAAGCAAACTTGGATGGAGCGGACTTTCCACATCCAGAAAAAGTTTAACAATCCAAATTGAGATTGTGGATCGAGTCTGCTGCATAAACCTATTAGGGCAGAATGCTATACCGCATTCGTTATAGTTTGACTAAGCAGACGGTTTTCTGAAAGGACTTCAGGCCAAGTTTCAACCTACCAATCTTTGGGATAGTAAACTGTACATTCACATACCTGCGCCCCCTGCAATTGTTATGCTAAAGAGATTTTCTCTAAAATAGCTATGTTTATAGATTCTATTGGGATCCGAGGTAGTTTAGTGTAAAATGGAAATTTAAGACCATTTGCAGCCGCAGACTTTTAGAGTTAGTCACTTAATTTAAACTTTTAAATTTATGCAACTTAATATTAATAATGTTAATAATGCTTGTTAAAGAAACATTATAATTTTAATAGAAATTGTAATACTAAAATATTTTGTACAACTTAATACAATGCTTACCCTGTCCACCTTTATCTCTGCAGTAATTATTTCATTCTATGAAAACTGATACCTATTTGATCACAAATTTATATAATTTTAATTGTAAATGTTGTAAATAAAAATCTGGACATTTTCATCTAACATATGCTTAAATATCTCACTTAGCTTGTTGTAACCATCATATTCAATCTGTTTCAGGACAAATAATCTGTGTGATACAAAACACATCCCATTTTTGAGAGAGATAGTAGGAACTGCAGATGCTGGAGAATCCGAGACA